CCCCCAGCCAAAGCCATCGACCCCAAGAAGGTGGAGGAGGAGGAGGAGGAGGAGATCGACATCGACCTGAGCGCACCCGAGACGGAGAAAGCCGCGCTTGCTATCCAGGGCAAATTCCGCCGCTTCCAGAAGCGGAAGAAGGAGTCGGGGCCCTGAGCAGCTGCGGGGTCCCGTGACCCCCTGCCCACGGCGGGCACCCCCCCCTTGCACCTGGCATCCTGACCTCCGCCATGCTGGGGCTGCCCTGTCCTCTGCGAGCAGGACTGGGGGGTGCTCAGTCCTTCCCTACCCCTCGCCCACCCCTGAGCCAGGTCCCTGGGTGAAGCTGGGGGGTTGATGCGGGGGGACACAGCTGAGTCCTGTGTCCCCCGGTGTGGAGGTTGCCCTTGTGCGAGGGAATGGCATGGAAATGCCCTTTTCCCTGGGGCAGCCTGCCTTTCCCCATCCATGGCGATGCTGGCTGCTGGGGACATGTGGGGTGGGGGGACACCGGTGTCCCCCAAGTGAGGGAAGCCCCTGTCCTGTCCCAGGGGGTTGGATGCTGCGGGGGGGACAGGTCTCGCTGTAGCCCACCACGGGGAAACCGGGTCTCCCCAGGCACTGGGATGCTCCCCATCCTCGCACTGCCCCCTCCCCGCACTCCTGTCATTGTCACCATCCCCTCCCCTAGGGAGGCTTTTAGCATGTGTAAAGAATAAACCATTGGGAAGAGGAGCTGGGCTGGTGCATAGTCTGTGGGAGGGGGTGTGGGGATGGTCCCCCACTTGGTGGGACCCCCAGGTCCCTGTTCTCTGAGGGAGCGGGGTGGAGCCCCGTTAAAAGCAGCCCCGCAGGTCCCCAGGGCCAGGCTGTCCCTGCCTGGGGGGGCACAGGCAGGGGGGGCCTCAGGGGGGGGGGGGGTGGAGGGTTCCCCCCTTGGGGGGTGCTTTGGGAATGGCTTCATCCCCACCCCGGGATCACATATCACCCTCCGATTTGGGGTTTTCCCCGTGAAATTCTGCTTAATTTATCAGCCACCAGGTCTCAGCCCCTGGAGCCGGGGCCTCGTTTCCCATTGTGCCACTCTTTGCAGCAGCGATGAAAGACGCCGCCACTTGCTCCTCTTCCTCGGGGGACGAAGGCCTTGTGGCGCCACGTCCCTCCAGGCATCAAAGTTTTGCTTGGGGCCAGCTTTGGTGGTGGTTCCCAGCCCCGGCTCCCACCGCAACACCACCAAGAGCAGCCCCAGGAGGTACCTGAGCTGCTGCTGGTGATGAGAGGAAAAAAAAAGGTGTTTTGGGGTGGTTAAAATAAAGGCATTTGGGGGATTTGCACCGGGGTTTCTTGGCGCTCAGACGCGAGGTGGCTGCGGGGCCAGTCCCTGCGATGCCCGATGCTGTGGGGTGACGGGGGACCCTGGGACCTGGCGTGGAGCCGCAGCGCATTGTCAGAAATAGCTCCCTGGAAAGAAAAACAGCGTTGGTGGCCAAGGGAAAGGCAGGGCCCAGGGGATGCCCTGGGGGCGCGGGGGTCGGGCTTGGCCCCTGCTTGCTCTGCAGACTTATTAGGGAAAAGACAATTATAGCCCCAGCGGCAAGGCGGGGTGGG